ATTTGAGAGTGAGGGGTTACAGCTCTGCCACCTACATCAATCCCCTTCCTGTTTAGACCAAGGACTCTATAGCAGTGAATCCTACCTGTGACATGGCACAGAACTGGAATCATCTAATCAAAATAGATGAAATCCCACCACAGCTGGAGTGTGAAGTTGGTCTGCTGATCGGCTACTATTGCTCAAGAGCACTGGCACCACGGCGGTCAATCCTGGGAGGAGACAATGAACCTTATGCTGTTCGTACGGATCTTGGACGGAGTATTGTAGGCTGTTCATTACCTCATCACTACTCACCAATAAGCACCAATATGTGTCACAAGGTTTCTGTCAGAGAGCTTCCTCCTGTAACCCCAGCAGAGGTCCTCTGGGTCCTTGAATCTGACTTTAAAGAGACTAACAAGGATGGAAAGACTGTTTCCTAAGATGACTTGCACTTCCTGGATGTGTTGAAGGAATTAGGAGAAACAGTCATGGACATTATGAGATGTCACTCCCCTTTAAAGAGAGACCCTATCTCCCTAGCAATAAGAAACAAGCTATGGTATGGCTCAGTCACCTCAAAAGAAAGTTGGTGAAAGATGACAGGTACAGTGAACTTTATGGATGAAATTACCCGAAAGGATGAAGCAGAGGAGGTTTGTGATCAAGGGAAAGAAGGAGAGAGATGGTATATTGCCCACCACTCTAAAAAAAACTGATAAACTCCATGTGGTTTTTGATTGTTCTGCCAAGCATAAGGGAACAAGCCTAAATGACCACTTTCTGTCAGGCCCAGATCTGTTAAATAATCAGGATGGTGCTTCTCAGATTCAGACAGCACCACATTGCATTGATGTGCAACATATAAAAGATGTGCCATCAGTTCTATGTTTATGAAGCTGACTATGTACGCCTCTTCAATGCAGAGACACAGGAATTCAGAATGAAAGTTCATCTCTTTGATGTGGCATCATCACCAGGATGAGCTAACTATGGACTGAAACAGCTCACTAAAGGTAATAAGACTGAGTTTCCCCTTGGATCAAAGTTCATCATGAAGGACTTTTATGTTGATGATGGTGCTACCAGTATAGTAAATATGAAACTCTGTGCTACAGGTGGACTAAGACTGCACAAGTTTGTGTGTAATAACAGAGCTGTACTAGAGATTATACCACTATCTGAGCCTGCTGCTGAAGTGAAAGCTCTGGATCTGGTCTGATCCTTGGGGATCCACTGGCACATCGAATCAGACAAGCTAAGATTTCGGGTCTGCCTAAAAGAACAGCCAGCAACATGACTTGGTATCCTGTTAACAGATGCATCCATTTGTGACCCACTGGTATTTGTTGCCCCTTTCCTGCTCACTGGAAAAAGGGTGCTTCAGGAAATATGAGACATAGGCTTGGACGATCCCCTCCCCTATGAACTGCATCCTGTGTGGGAGCGCTAGAAGAATGATCTTATGAATTTTGGAGAAAATCACCATACCACGCTGCTATGTGTTGTGGAAAAGTTGCCACATCATTTTTCTGATACAAGCACATGTGGTTATGGACAGTGCTCATATCTGAGACAAGTGAACAAAGATGGATGTGTTCATTGTGCTCTGGTCATGGGGAAATCACGAGTGCCTCCAATCAAGGTCACAATGATACCTCGGCTAGTACTGGCAGCTGCTGCTGTGTCAGGCACAGGAAGCAACACTTTGAAGGAGGCGCTTGGTTTAATTGATGTTGTTGGATATTTCTGGACTGATTCGACAGTGGTCTTATTCACAATGAGACACGTTATTTTCACACCTTTGTCTTAAATCAGATACAGAGAATACATCTCAACTCCTCCCTTCAGCAATTGTGGGACAATCCCAATCTGTGGACTTCTGGTCCTCTTACCATCCTCATGGAGTCGATTTCTAACTGCTTTTGCAGGCACATGCACATGTGTGGCCTATTGGGGGTCATTTTGCAGGGCTCTGGCAGTGCTCCTCCTGTTCCTCCTTGCACAAAGGCAGAGGTAGCGTTCCTGCTGCTTGGTTGTTGCCCTCATAAGGCCTCCTCAACGTCTCCTGTTGTACTGGCCTGTCTCCTGGTAGCTCCTCCAACCTCTGCACACTACCCTGACAGGCACAGCAAACGTCCCGGCACAGCTCTCATCGATGTTTGTTTGAGCAGTGTTTCTTGCCTTGTAAGTCAAAGATTGTTAAAAATGATAACAAACCTACACCTATAAATGTACTTTTTTAATAACAAATAAGAAGCTGTTTTCCAGTCTTACAGACTTGATTATTCATTTATTGATAACTGCAACCACAGGTTATGGTTAATTAATTAATTATTTAATCAAGGGAAAACAATCAAGGTAATGTTAGTCTGATGATTATAAGTGAGAATTTGCTGAATAACCAGGTGTAATTAATGGCTTACCTTTGATTCTAGACATTTAAAACTGGCTGCCCGGTATTGTCTACTAGCTCACAGTGGAAAAGGGGCACCTCAGGTTCAAAGTGTCTGGCCAGGACTAAACTTGGTGTTATTGTAGTTGATCGACAGGCTGAGATTTAAAAACTCTTCATTCGTTGTTCAAACGGACATTATCAGCATGGTTATGCTGGGTTTACACCTCTAAGTGTCTTCTTCAAAGAGGGATGCAGTCCTTTTTGCCAGCAAAACGTACCACAGTTCTGGAGATTGCGACACAATAATAATCATGATGTCCAGGTGGAATTATCTGATTATCTAATATTTGCATTAACCAAATGAAAATAAGACTGATAATTCTGGCAGCTTGAAAAAAAAAAAAAATTAATCTGATTTTAAACTCAGCCAGTTAGAAAATAAAAATAACACACTTTTTGTTTATAGTATGTAAATATTTTGTCTAAATTGTACACCATTTGCATTTGGATGGGGGGCATTTTTTGTGAGGTGTGGGGGCATTTACATTTACATTACACAGTTTGTGCAATCTCTGGGAAACGGTCAAGCCTTTCCTGTCATTTTAGTCTGACATGTATCCCATTTCTCAAGTTCTGAGTATTTCAGTGACATAAAAGAGGTTGAAACATGAAAGGCAAAGTTTGAAAGCCTTCCCTATCATTAACTTTCATCTCATACAGCAAACAAATGGGAGAATCTGCTTGCGATGAAAGTGAGCCATCGGCCTTGTCACAAGCACTTAAGGCCACGGGGGTAATTAATTTGTATTGAATAGGAAGTCAAATACTGATGCGGACACTCCCAGACTCCCCCGTCATCTTATTGCCGAGCTGCTTTGGATCAAAAGGATTTCTCTTACTTCCTCCACCCGCCTCTCCAGCCCTGCAGTCTGATGCCTTGTCTCAGAGCTTGCTGAATAATAGAGATCAAGGGATTGCTGTCAGAGGCCAGCAGATATGAATGAAGTTTCACACCAGTTCATATAATCTGGAAGAGTTCACTTGTTTTTCATTAAGAGTAGATAAATGAATATTAGATGACCAGACGGTAAAAGATTTACATGGCTGACAAAACAATTACTCTAATAGATTCTGACGATGCTTTTTATATGTGTGTGTAACAAATTGCAGAGACAGCTCAATCTTCAAACCAGCGGGACGCCCACACATCTACATTATCAGAAGAAATACATTTGACTTAATTACTGCACATATGAATATAAGGCATCATTAAAAGATGCATATGCAATATAAGGCACCATTAAAAGATGCATATGCTTAAAGATGGTTAAAAAAAAGCCCTTCTGAATTCCTCACTACTAGATTTTTTTTAACTTAAATGCATTTTTAAAGTAATTTATTCAGCACATTTCACAATGATTTCCTCAAAGGCAGAGAACTCCAAAAATATCCAGGAGCAGAAAAGGAGGATTTAAAGTCTTTCTGTTTTATTATTAAAAGCCAACAGTTACTCATGACATTTGCATCCTAATAACTGCGAGATAAGTTGGAACTAAGTTGGCACTCTAAACCTAATCTCCATAATGAGATTTATAGGTAGAAATAGTGCTGCCTTTAATGCTACACACAGGAAAAAGAGGTAGTGCAGGCAAACGTGTCAGGGGAAGGCTGTTGATATAGTCTAAGCATCAGTATGCTCTGTCATGCCTTTCAGTGCTCCAAAGATAGGAGGCGCGCAGATAACTGAGAAAGTATAAGGGTATAATCTTTCAGTTGTCTGTTTCTTTCTTTCCCCCCCCCCACCCTGCCTCTTGATAGACTATACTTTGCATTTCTAATAATTTCTTCCTCTTATTCATTTCACCCTGCTGATGGTGTGTAGTCAGAGCAAGCTGCACCATCAGTCAGTTAAATGTCCCAAGGAGAGCCAGTTTGAACAAAGCCAATACTTAATTTCCTCCCATCCAGCTTTCTGTTTCTATGACCTGCCTCTCATAAGCAAACATTTATCTACTGCGTTACAAGGGAGAGGATCTCTCCTATCAACATGTTGGTGGGATTGGAAGTATTTAGACAAATAGCCAAATCTCTGTTACCAGGTTAGAACGGACTCTCTTTATCAATTCAAATTTCTTTTCGGGGCGGTTTAATTTAAGGAAGCTGAGATGGGTTTCAGCAAATTTCTTGAGAGAAAAATCAATTGCAAGTCTCTGCGGGGAGACTAGAAAATGGTTTTGGTCTACATATAGTCAGCTCTTTATGTCAGAAATACGTAATCCAGCTAAGAAGATTTCAAGGAGCTGGCATAATGCTTTATTACATGCTAGGGTCTTGTCTGACAGTCAAGCTAACTTTTGTTTGTCTCAGCAGGTTTGAGCAAAAGAAGACAGTTTATTTGTGCTTTTCTCGAATGCACTACATGTTCTGCAATATCAGGCTTACTTAAAAAAAAAAACTTCACAGCAAGCACTACTGAATATCACATTTATAGCTCTGTAAATGTTATGAGTTTTCAGAATCTCAATTTTTTCTGTTTCAAGCACATCTTGCTACTGTCCTTGTTGATGTGACGGGTTGTGACTCACTAATATTTCCTTCTCTTTTTCTTTTTATCTGACAGATGAACACTGAACATAACTGGAAAGGACAAAGCCAGAACTCTATGCTCCTGTGATTGGATCTAAGCTTGTTCTCATCCGAGACCATTAAAATGGAGTTGCTATGGAAACTTTTAGTGCTGGTGTCTTTGGTGGAGGGTCTGACAGGTTAGTTTCTCCAAACATAAATTTGTCGAGTTTCTTCTTTTTTTTTTTTTTTTTAAAGACTTACAGTTCCCTGCAAAAGTTTGGAATTTCTACACTTTTCGTCTCATTACAACTGCAAACACTTTTGGAAATGCAAAAATGAACAGTGTCATTCAGATGTATTCAACTTCCTTGGTTCGTTACTGCCTAGCTAATACAAACCTTAAAAGGCGTTAAGAATGGTTAACAAAAGAATAAAACAAAAGCTGTAACCTGTAGCAGTTGACAGTGAAGTCAATTGCCCAAAACAATTTGAATTTGTTTTCCTAATCGAGACTACACAGGTGGCGGTATAGAAATCTTGACATTGATCTAGCATTTAATGAGAGACCTAATGTATCTCCCTTTATAAGCTGTTCAGGGGCTAATATGAGTTCTCCTCAAATCATCGGATCCAGAGATTGGAGAACAAAATGAATAAAAGCTTTACTGCATGAGCAGAGTGTCTGGAGGAAAGCGTAATCTTTTCATGTTGCCTCATTCAAAATCAGCTGCAGCTGGGTCTAAAATTGATTGCTGTGTGTGCATGAGAGAGTTGGTGACTGTCAGCATGCAGGCTTGCCTTTTATGTGTTCCATTTTCCTTAAAGCAGACAAGCAAGCTGACACCTAAATCTATGTACATAGCAATTAGCACAACTTATCGCTAAATTCGAGGACATCACTTGATGCCTGATTAGGTTTTCCACTGGGAATTGCTTCCTGATGGATAGGACCTTAACTGAATTTCCAAATAAGCTAATTTATTCTGCTTGAGCACTCTTTTAAACATTTGATCTTATTTAAACACATGCCTCATACATGCCTCAATTTTTTCAGAGAAAAAAATGATTTTAATAAGGCTTTTCAGACCTGGTTGCTATGTAAGACCCCAAAATCTAATCTTGCAATCATTAGTGGCACAAATCAATGTCATGGTTATCAATTTATAACAATTTGGTGCTTGACAGTGAAACAAGGGCTAAATTGTTTCTGCATTATTCTGCACAGTCCTTGTCTCGCTCTTGAAGCTGATGCTCTGCAGGAACACATAGTAACTGAGCATTAATATTCAGTGTGGGCTTCCATTACATGTGCTCTACTTACAAGCTATGTGGCATAAAACCCTAGATGTCTAAAGCCTCTGTCTTCAGCGCAAGAAAAAGTATTGAACTAATATTTAATGTTTTGATATATAAACCTTCAGTATTGTACAGAGAAGAGCCAAAGAGTATTACTTGGTTATAGTTGATCCATAAGCTAAGGTATTGTTGTTTTTCTCAGACACTGGGCTTTGGCTGTGTGGGAGAGCACCCAAGCCAAGGGGAAGGCATTCCCGAAGCGAGTTCATGTAAAGTTAACAACCTCTTCTCTTATTCCTCTCTGAGGGTCTAAACAGCCTGAGGCAGGGGTGTGTACTATGTGTGAGAAGGAGTGAGTAGAGCAAGACTGCACCGATAAGGAGAAGGATTCTCTTTGTGGCCACAGATACTGCACCACTAACCTACATACAGCTGCTGTGTTGCAGCCATAAACTGGTCGGCTGAATTGGAAAAACAACTACTTTTTTCCAAGTCTGTATGATCCATGAATGTATTACATTTATAGATTATTGTACAGTATGGTACAGTGGGAAAAAAATCAGGGTTTAAAAGTACTTGAAAGATAATGTACAGAGCTTCCCATGCATTTTTATTTCTTAATTAGTTTGTCACAATCCACCTGTTTGTGTTTTCAGTTAATTTGACTCCCTCTGTTTTCAGCCCCTTTCTGTGACTTTCATTTACCTGTCTGTGCGGTCCTCTGTTCTCATCCTGCTGCCATCCTTTTCACACCTCTTTGTTTTCTTGTTTTACCAAGTATGTTATTATAACCAACTATGCTACTGAGGGTGAGCATCTCTTCCACCATCATGGTCCTATTGACTTCTGGTGCTTACCACTTCCTTCCTTTACCTCCTTGTATCTCCTCCATGTTGCGGTTAATTGCACTCACCTTAAACTAGGGCTGCAACTAAGGATTATTTTGCTAATCGATTAATCTGTCCATAATTTTTTTTAATTAATCGATTAATAATCCGATGGCCATAGGTTCCTTAAAGAACATTTTTTACAAAATTAAACCAGGTGAAACTGAAACATTTCCAATTGAGGAATTAAGGATAGAGCATATTGACAGCCATAAACTTTTTTTAGTCTTAATTGCATAATATTTAATTTTTTTTCTTCTTCACAATTTTGGTATAATGACTGCTCTAAGTGGGTTGCTGTGTTAGTTAAAGGCATGTTTTACAGTCTCTATACTCCAGTTAACGATTCATCGATTACTAAATTAGTTGGTGATTATTTCAAATAATCATTTAATCATGATTAATTGGATTAATTGTTTCAGCCCTACTTTAACCATGTAATCCGCCATTCCAATTTGAATTTAAGCTGCTTTGCCATTTTTCTACTTTAATGGTTTATCTGGTTTCTGTAATTTCAAGTGCTATGCAAAGTCACCCTGTTGTTTATTAAATTGATCAGTTTACTACCATGCCTCTGCCCTGGTTAAGGTTTGGTAGCCTACTAATTTGAATGATTCTGGTTTCTATTGATTCCCAATTCTGATTATTTTAACAAGAAGAGTCATAAAAGCTTACATACTACTGTATAAGGCTAACCAAAATATTATGTATAGGACAGTTTTCTTGTTTTATTCACCCTATTTAGACTGTGGTGGTAGGCTGGGTGTCTGAACAGTAGGAAAGCAGTGCAGCAGGAAGGTATCAGAGTTTATATACTCCTCAGTTCCACTCGTCCAGACTTGGAAGTAGTGATGTTTTACTTTTGTGGACAGAGAAAGGATCAGATGTTTAGGTCAAGATGTAAAGTAATGGAAGAAAATATTGAAAAGACTCCATTTTTTAAAACTAGGAATAAAAAAAAAAAAAAAATAAATAAAATTGAACAACTTCGGAAGAATTGAAAGATTGGAACCGCTTCCGGTTATTTATTGATTCTCAATGTCTAACCATAGTCTTGGTCCAGTTGCAATTTTAGTCCACGACCTTCTCTTAATTTGATAAGAATAGAAACTCATGTGTCATTGCAAAGCAAAAACAAATGAAAATATACAGGTAGGCATAAGACTAAAAATGAATATGCAAAGGAACCAAAAAAAAGATTGTAGAGCAAATGAAAACAGGAGTATTTGCAGTTATTTAAAAAAAGACAAACTCATTTTAAATGAAAAATATTTAAAATAAATGAACATCTTTCTTTTTTTCCAAAATAGCTCATCCTCAGTCACATAAATGGAAACATCACCAACATCACTTTTCCACTTGAGCCATAAGTTTTCCATTGATTGTAGGTTCACATGTGCTACACCGTAAATGTTGACCTTTGTAGCTCTTCCACAATTACTACAGGCCATAGTTGCCCCTCTAAATAATACTATTAATATCTTGATAGCATTAAAATTGTGTTATGCTCTTTCTATTTCAGAACATGGAACAATGATTTTATTTCTCAACTGTTTTGAAGTTTTCCTAAAATTGTATCCTATTGAAAGTATTAATTTGTTGTTGGGATATTCCTTGTTAATTTTTTTTTATCAACCATCTGAAGCCTTCATATGACAGTTGTATTGATGCCAGAAGTTAAACAACACACATGGCCTATACATGCAGTACATTTATTTAGGGTTGAATCATTATGAAGATGGAATCTCAAATGTTCTAAACATATTAGCAGTGTTGGTGTGAATGTTTTTGCATGTCTAAATAAAACTAGCTTCATGTTGGATTTCTATTAAAATCAAATTTTATTTGAAATTTTAGATGTCAGACATGTTAAATACAGCTATTCTAGCATAAGCTTAAATTCTGTCTATGAAATAAATACAAAACACCCCTTATTCATTTTACCCAATACTTTGAAGCAAAGCATTAAAGTACTGTTTTCTAACAATTTAGCAGCAGTTGCAAAAGCATAACTGTAAGAAATCATAGAAAGGTACAATTTAGCTGCCAGAAGTGAAAACAAAAACAAACATTGCTGCTGAGGCTCTTAACAGCAATCAAGGTTTTTCTCCTTTGAATAAATAGAAACAAAATCCTCACTTTGCTTGAGTAGGTCTAACGCATTTTTACAGTGTTATGATATGCGATTTTATAAATAAAAAAAAATAGTAGAACTTGGAATCTTAAGAGTGGAGTGATATTATTAGATTTACACTTTTGATAAGAAAATTAAAAAAAAATTAGTACCTGTAGCCAAAGTGTTTAAGAATGTATTCTAGCTTCAGTGAACTAAATAACAGCAATACAGTTGCAATTTAACAGGAATGATGAAAGGTTATTTTTTTATTTTAGAATAAATATATAGCCCACTTTTTATTTTCCCAATGAAAACTGTATGTGTCAGTATGTGGAACTGCAAAGCCAAGTGGAACCGTTTTAAACACTCCTGCAATGTAGAGATGGAAGCAGTTCGATCAAAAATCAGTATTAGCAGCTATTTTTGGATACCACAGTACGTTGGGTTCAGCCCACCTACAGTGACTGAGAAAAGAGAGTTGACTGCAGTTATGTTCTGAACTTTGTTCTCCAGACCCCTCCTGCTCTCAGTCTGTAGTTTATATTTAGCAGCTACACCTGACAAGCATGTGAACATAGGTATGACAGGACCACTTTGACCCTTAAACCCTTACTTTATTCTGAGCAACTCACTGATGCTGAAATGAGCGATTTTAAGACTCCTTTAATCAGTAGTAACACCCAAAGCAAAGATTGTTGTTGTCAGCCTAATCTGGTAGTGTTAACTTTTCCAAAAATATGACTTTCAAGTTGGATACTGTAACAATCTGAGAGGAAGGACACATTTACTGGTTCAACAAATTACCTTATTGACACATAATGTATTCTTCAGGTCAGGAAAAGTATTGGAAAAATAAAACATTGCAATAGCAATGACAGACTCTTTGAACCTGAATTAG